CACACTTTTAGAATTAATTAACCCAATACCCTTTAGTCATCCATGCTAACGTTTTCCAAAAGAATAACTTATTTTATTGTATGTTTAATCTCAATAACTAAAAAATATACTGACAATTAGTTTGACAGAATTGTCATTTATTTAAAATTTTAAAAATAATAGCAGTCGGTTGATCAAAATATGAACGGTGATTGGCGAATTTATTTTTTTTGCAGTGTTCTCACTACCTAGAATGGATATGAAATATATTCGTTCAATTGAAGGCAATAGCATACTTTTTCGTTTTGTATAATCTGTGCATGGATATTAGCCAATCTACGCACATACTACAAAACGAAAAAGTATGTTATTGTGTTCAACTACGAATATATTTCATATCCATTTTAGGTAGTAAGAACACTTTAACAAAATTAAATCTACAAATCACAGTTCATATTTTGGTCACCCAACTCCTATTATTTAAAATTTTTTAAATAAGTGACAATTCTGTTAAACTAATTGTCAATATATATTTTAGTTATTGATATTAAATATACATTAAAATTTTTGTGCAGACTCGATAAATAATAGCATTTTTGTTTCTATTGTGTCCACATTTAAAAAAAAATAAATTTTAATTAAACTACATGATACTAATTTAATTACGAGTATTAAAACTAAAGTCCTGAAAGTTTCGGTGAAGATGAAGACAGAGCATCTGCCTTCCACGCGAAAAGTCCGGGATCGAATTTAGGCCGAGGACTAATTAATTTTTCATGTTTATTTTATTTATTAGTCAACTTCGTAAATTATTTTAAAATTAGTTATTTTGTCTAAATAACCTAAAATAATTTTTTAAATTTGTAGATTTTCGTTAGTGGGTCGTAGAAAAAATATACTGACCATATCGAGTAGATTGTTCATATCACAATCAGACGATTGAGTTCTCCGCCTACGACGTCGTGCTCAAACTTCGTCTTTGTGTGATATGGCTATCATATCCACCCTTGTTGAACAAACTACAATTTATTTGTTTTCTTGGTTTAAGTTAAGAAATAGGAATTAAATTAATTTACTTTTCAAGTTTTCTTGTAAAAATCGATATTACTTTCTCCAAGTACAAATTTAGTACCTACCTAAAATAAGTACTAATTATGTTATATCTTGTAATATTGTAATTCAAATTTCACATTACTATAAAGTTTTAAAATTTCCTACTTCGGTATGGTCAGATAAAAATTGAATATATTATATTAATAAAAACTGTCAAAGTATAACTTCTACAAATCTGTATTTCAAATAATAAGAATACATCTAAATATAACCAATATTGTTAAAACAAAAGCACACATTCTTTATAATTCCAAAATACCATAGAGTTCCCAGACCTCAGTCGAAGCATTCGTTTATCTAGGTATAAACCCTTTGCGCGAATAGTAACACTTGCCAGAGACACGGGGATACCACTTGATTTGCATCCACGAGCGTGACACAATTCTTTAACAATTGAAGCCCTTGGTGTAAAATGGATCCAAGCCACAATTTGTCGTGAAGTGACTGTTTTAGCTCAAAACATTTGTTAACGAGGATTTTACTAGCCATATATAAATTATTTTACCCCTAATCCGAAAGATGTGCTATTTTTCGTAATATTTATATTTAAATAATTTTTTTAATTATATTTGAAAGATTTAAAACAAATTAAAAATGTAATTTCCCAAAACTTACTTAATATGGCATGTGACCAACCTTATTACGCCAAGGTTTTCAATAATAAAAAAATTGTTTAATCCGGGCCCGACTTTTCCCTTGAATCTAACAGAGATAGCACCATTCCGTCTTGCTTGGTTCTCGACCGCCAGATCAAAGACGCCGACACGAAGTTGTGGAGCTGTATTGTATAAGCTGTGCTATTGTTTTCTATCTCCAGTGACGTACTCAAGAGGGTAGAAAAGAATATTCGTTGGTTCTGCACATTGTAAACTTATTCTTTAAGGACCGATTCCACCGTTGTGTTAAACGAAGTTTAAAATGACATTTTTACATTAAACAATGCCATTTTAATCTCCGTTTAACACAACGGTTGAATCGGCCCTAAAGAAAAATTGAAAAAGATTTAGTTATTTTTATAAAAACTCTTTAATAAAAACTTTCTTTAATTATTCTTAAGACCATTTAATCGATTTTTTAACGTCTTAAAAGTTTAATTTTGCTAGGTAGTTATGAATTTCATCTCAATATATATTTGGTCGCACGGTATTTGTCAATAAAATATATATCATCAATAATTTCTTAATTATTTTCATCAAGCTGCAGTTTATTAAGTTTTTTACCCATATTGTTTGTCATGGATTAATGTGAAATTCGAAGTTTTTAGGAACTCGTTGTTGTAGTAATTGGGAAAGGTCCCATTTGTTACAGATTAGAACAGAAGTAAAAGTTGGAAATGCTTTTGCCAGTTCTCCCACTTTAGGCGAGTTCGGATAGTCAGGGGCTGGAGCGGGACAAATTTTAGGGTGCTTTTAAATAACATTTAAGCGTGTTAAACTGTCACTAATCGGACTAAACATTCGACTAAACCGAACGCTAAAAGGGTCGTTTGGAGTTAAGTGTTAAAGGAACTTGGCAGACCGAACGCACATTTTATACACATAAATTGACAGGTTGGCAGCGGATCTCACCGAAGTGGACGCGATACATAGATGTTAATAACAATTTCGAGTAAATAGTTTAATAAATTGTGAATAGCTGTTGAAATTTTGTAAAATTATAATTTGAATATTATAATACATGTTTAATAATTATTTATAATCCATAAATACATGCGATTGTCCGGTTCCGCCGATAATTTAAAATTACTTATTCTATGAAACGACACTGGCAGGTAAACATTTGCCGCGTTTGAGAATCCACATCGGATGCATTTTTTACATCTCGAGCGTTTTTTTATCCACATCGGACACATCTGTTCCATTACATTTACGTATACTGAATCACGTGATCAAAGATTTACTACATCTCAGATGCATCCGATGCAGTGTTGCCAGTCTAGTACAATTGTACTAGATCTAGTACATTATTTGAGAATCTGGTACTTTAATACACTCAAAGGAAAATCTAGTACTTTTTTCAGCGTATGTTCCATTTGAAGTGTAAAATATTTTGTTCAAATATTGCCAGAGAAATTAAAATAGTTGTTAAAAATTGCTTCAGAGATCAAATAGTAGACATTTCTCGAGAGATCAAATATTGTTCAAAAATAGCTGGAGAGGTAAAAAAGGGTGTTAAAAATTGGTCGAAGGATAAAATAGTATTAGAAATTGCTTGAGGGGTGAAATATTGTCCATAAATTGCTTTAGGGATAAAAATACTGTTAAACATTTAATGAGAGAAGAAAAAAATTTAAAAATTGTTCGAGAGATCAAATAGAATTATAAATAAAATCGTGTTCAAAAATTGCTCGAGGTAAAGTAGTATTACAAAATGTTAAAACCTTGTTTAAAAATTGCTTGAGAGATAAAATATTGTTGAAAATTTTATTGAGAAATAAAATATTGTTTAAAATTAACTCGAATATTGTACAAACATTGCTAGAGAGATAAAAAAGTTGTTTAAAAATCACTAGAGACATAAAACATTGTTAAAAATTTATCGAGAGTTAAAATCTGTACCATATGTGAATAAGTCGGTAAGTCAAAAATTGAAGTTTTTCAGTATGGCCATTTTAAACAACATTTTGATGTTTTTGAAAAACAAATTTTAGGTTAAATTTCGTTTTTTGAAATAGGTTATTAATTATACAACCAACAATGTAAATAATTATGACCTGTGAAATTATATTACTTAATGGAAAAAATCTGACTTGCCTATTAATTTATTGACCTCAAATGTGTGTGTTTTTGTTGAGTTACTGACTTATTCTAATATAAATAAACAGGACAAAATTTTTTAATATTTTTATTTATTCATGAAAAAAGCAAAGTGAACTTATTTCAAATAACATACATTTTGATTGGAAAAGAAAACTAGAAAACGACTGATAATTTAGATAAACCTCTTCCAAATCCGGGGATAGCTATAGTTACCGGTTTTGGCACAAAAAATTGGAGAAATCCAACTATTCACAGAGTCCTCTGAAGTAAACTCATGGAGGAAGCTATTAAGAATTTGAATCACCCATTTATTCACCAAACAGAATAGGAAGAGCACTTTAGATATTTGTAGATATTATATTTTTACTAAAATTTGACTTATCCACTTATTCACGGATGGTACAGAAATATTGTGCAATTTGCTAAAAAGATAAAAAAAAGTAGTTCAACATTCCTCGAGAGATAGAATAAAGGTTTAAAAATTATTCGAGAGATAAAATAGTGTTATAAATTGTTAAAATTTTGCTCAAAAATTGCACGAGAGATCAAATATTGTTCAAAAATAGTTTGACAGGCTGTTTAAAATTGCTCGAGTGATTAAATAGTGTTAAAAATTGTACAAGAAATATTGCTCGAGAGATAAAAAAGGTTTATAAACTGTTTGAGAGATAACATATCATCATAAGTTATTAAAATCTTTTTCAAAAATTGCTCGAGAGATAAAATAATGTCAGAAATTTGTCGAGAGATAAAATATTGTTTAAAATTTTTGTGTTCGTGTTCTCTATAAGCCTTTTTTTGCTCTTTAATGACCACCCTTCATAATTAGAAAATCTGGTAATTTTATAGAATCTAGTACATTTTTATGTAATCTGGTACATTTTTTAGAAAAATCTGGTACATTACAAAAATATATTCTGGCAACACTGAATTCCGATGTGGATTCTCAAACGCGGCAATTACTGTGAAATTCTCGGAGCCGCCCGACGTGGTTTGACGTTTACTCCCTCTCTACCTACCAAAAACTTTTCAACTTTTACTTTCTCTATAACAGTGCCAACTAGAAATGGTGAGATTGGGACTCGCCATCTTGCCTTAAATATTTAACTAGACAATCTGCTTTTGATCTTATTTTTAAATAAAAGAATAAAACAATAAACATACAATTTATTTCATTAAAACGGTTTAAATCCAAGATTATTTTCATGAATCTTTTTATGCTTCCTTACGGCGCTACTTGTATAAAATCTTTTATCACACAAATCGCACTGATGTGGCCTATCTCCAGTATGTGTTCTAATATGTTGCTGAAGATTACCATTCAATGTGAACTTTTTCCCACAAAACGAACATTCATAAGCTTTAACTCCAGTATGTAACAGCTCATGATAAACCAGTTGACATTGTTGCTTGAAATCTTTGCTACAGTATTGACATTTAAATGGTCTCTCTCCAGTGTGTGTTCGCATGTGAATGATCAGATGACTGGGGCAACGGAATTTCTTATGGCAGAAGTCACATTCAGTTTTCTTACTTTTTATAAGGTTATTAGATCTTCTCATTGTATTATGTTTCTGAAGGTGCACTCGAAGTTGGCATGCATAATAGAAGCTCTTTCCACATATTTCGCAAACCTTGCTTTTACTTTCTTTATGTGTCAGTCTGTGATCATGCAAATTAGAGCTACTGCGATAACGTTTTCCACAAACATCACAAACGTAGGGTTTTTCTTTACCATGGAGTACCATATGGGCTTTGATTCGGTCTAAAATAAAAATGCAATAATCAGGTTTAAGTGGACTCCGAAAAACTCAAATTCTCAAATAAAGAACAAATGTACGTGTTTAAAGCCATAATAATTAGCAAATCAGAAATCGAAAAGAACCAAAAAAATGAGTGGTACAATGAATTTCAAGGTAGTCGACTGGAGTATAATTAATAGGGAACTAGAGAGAATTAAAGATCACACTACAGATAACATCATAGAGTGAATTTTTTCAATAAGTTTTTTATTAACTATACAGACAAAATAATGATCATATATCAACCCATAAACCTTTACTCAACTATCAGTATGGAAATAAAAGAGCAAATTCATTCTGTGTTAATCCGGTCAGTGAATATGACATCGCTGATATAATAAAAAAATAAAATCTAAAAAAAAATTATCGGATCAACACATGCATCATTAAACATATACTATCGCCACTTACGGATATAATAAATAGTTGCTTAGTTGAAGGGGTTTTCCCTGATCCCCTGAAATTATCTAAAGTGTTAAATATTCATAAAAAAGAAGATGATACTCTGCCAGAAAACTATAGACAAATCCATATCTTACTTTTCCAAAATTGTCGAGAATGTGATAATTAGTTAGAGCAATACTTTGAAAAGTATAACCTTTTCTCTAATGAACAATATGGATTCAGAAAAGAACACTTCTGATGCAATTATGTCCTTCGTAAATAATACACAAGATGCTTTTGAAAAGAAAGACAATTGTATTACTCTACAAACAGATTTATCCAAAGCTTTTGACTGTGTTAATCATGCAAAACTTAGTTCTTATGACAAGAAGAATTGCAAATGACTTAATTGCTTCATATCTCAGTGGCAGACTACAGAGTGTATACAGCAATAAATATAGTGATATGTTAATGATAAAGAGAGGTGTCCCTCAGGGATCTATACTTGGACCTTTTCTCTTCATTATCTACAAAAATGAACTTCCTCTACATAAAATAACACTTTCGGAATCTATTGACAACAATGTACGCAGATGACACTAACTTCTCGTACACCAAACTCAGTAAAGAAGTAATGGAGACAGTAGATAAATGGTTTGACCACAACGAATTGTTCATGAACTCGGACAAAACCGAAGTTTGCACCTTCCAATCTTCATCAAACTCTGATAAAAACAGCACCAAATTCTTAGAACATATAAATTTTCGTCTAACCTGGAACCAACAGATTGATGCCCTCTGCAATAAATTCTCAAAAACTTTTTATGCCATTCGAAGAATTTCATACTTCTCCAACATCTAACCTAACATATGGTATCTTAGGATGGGGTAAAGTGAATGTCCATTACGCCAAGGGAGTCTCGGCTGTGATCTCCAGGACATTCACTAAATATCAATTAGGGATCGTGCTCATCCAGGAACCGTGGGCCTACGGGAAACAGGTAAGAGGACTTGCATGTAAGGATGCAAGGGTAATTTATCAGACTAGTGACGAAGTACCCAGAACATGCATAATGGTAAGAAATATTAAATATTCTTGCCTTTCAGAATTCATCTCGTTCTAATTTGAGCATACCTGAAATTAGGAATGAGGCGGCAAGACATAGTAATAGCTTCTAGTTACTTCGCCGGAGATGGACCTGTAACACCCCCCGAAGTATCGAGAAGACATCTGTCATTACATCTTGGATGCGACGCCAACGCGCACAGGACTGTATGGGAAGCAACGACACCAATCACAGAGGCGACCAACTTTTACAATTTATTTTTAACAAGAACCTTATTGTGCAAAATATATATATATTTTTTTTAATTGGCATCTAAACGTAGTTTTTGTTGCCACAGTCTTTTGTAAACCGAATAATTATTTATTTATATTTTAATATTTTCTTTAATTAACAATTCAATAATTAAGTTATATATTTTCTGATCAAATGAACTTAATAAAATAGAAATACTTTATGGAAAATGGATATTTAGGAAAGAAAGTTTTTTAAGAAAATCTGAACGATGAGAATTATGGTGGCTACAAGAAAAAATGAGGTTGATATTAGCAAAAGAAGAATTGTCGCATTGACAGAAAGGTGATATATTAATACCAATTCTGGAAAGGTGAGACAGAAAACCCCCATGATTTAGTTTCATCCTTGTTAAAGTCGTACAATACCTAGACATTTTAAAATTTGTAATGTGGGGAACAGATTTTGGAAGAACAGGGTGAATAAATGTATATGGGATATTTGAATGAGAAACAAAGTGTTTTCAAAGTTTCTCCCAGCTTGATCTAACATTTCGTTTCATTGCATGAATAATATCCTGCGGAGAATGAATATTACTAATACTTGGAAGACGAATGGATTATTTAGCAGCTAAATCGACTTTTTCATTTCCAACTATCCCTTTATGACTTTTAACCCAGATGAAAACGATCTCGATTTTAGAATTATAAAGAGAAAGGAGACATTTTACTTTCCAAACAAGAAATTATAGAAGACACATCATCAGAAAATAGATACGTTTCCGGATCCAAACCTTCACTTTCTAGTGCTTTTTTAAGCCTCTCTGCCAATGTTATGTTTATTTTAAACGACAGTTTATTTGTTAATAATTTATTTGAACACTTATTTATTTTAAAACAATACTATTCTAATTAATATATTTCGAATGTCTTTAAATTGTTCACTATTTATCTTCACAACTTTGTGTACGATTGACTGCTCCGTGTTCCTCCACCAATATTTATACACATTTAAAATTCTGGTGAAGGTTCTATAAAATTCTCGACAAAACTAGTAAAATTATCCTGTTCATTATCTAGTAGTCACATATGTTTGGTCTTAAGGGGTTTAATTATGTATGATAATCGGACAAGTTGAGCCTCAAATGCCAAATAAGACGAAGAGGGACTTGGAGGATTAAAGCATAACGAAATGGCTCGCATTACAATAAGTTACCTTTTTTCCACTGAACAAAAAATTAAAATTATGACTCTGTATCTTCGAAACAAAGCATCTGCAGGCGCATGTTGATAAGAACTATTTGTTTTATTTTTTTGGTAAGGAATCACTCCACGAGCGATGGCACATGTTTTTTAAAACACAGTGTATATTGTGTGGTTTTCCACCTACGTGTGATATAAAGAAGTATTTTTTTGTACTATAATTATTATTGTTACTTTTGTTAATTAATTACTTCATTAATAATAATGTGTATCCCCAATGCTGAGGCCCCTTAGGTAGGGGGCATTAGTAAAAATATAATTATGGAACAAGTGTATAATTATTGGAACAAAACAATTTAATTTTTGAGGTAAATTATGTTTTATTAATAATGCAATTTTTTGTTTAATCTGTACCAACTTTTTAAGGAATTAGTATAAATAGTATTAGAACAATACTGCCGTCCTAAAAATAGATGCCGTATCTACAAAAGTCGGATTTTGAAGTTTTTGCATCCATAGGTTCGTGGCAAGCTAAATTAACTTCTTACTAAGTAGAAATGCCGTTATATGTTTCCAAAATATTAAAAATCCAACATACTTAGTCGCATCTGAGCACTTTTACCGACTAAGGTAATAACTTTAAACCTCATTTTCATCGCTTGACGCTCTCAGTAGATACGGCATCTGTTTTTAGGACGGCAGAATAATTACCTCTGCTTACTAGTTTTCCACACATACTACAAGTTATCCTAGTTTTCGGCTTTGCTCTTCTTTTCCTATATTCTTTAAATTTATGTCTTTTATACATTAGTCTATCTTCAAATTTTTCTGAACAGAAACAGCAAGTGTATATTTTATTTCCTTTTTCATCAAATGAAATACATTGAAATCTAGTACTTTCAGATTTCTTCTATAACAAAAAAAAAATTAGATTTTTTTAATCACAAACTAATTATAGGTATTTACTTTCTTTACTTCCTTCACTTTTACTTTTTTTACTTCTTTTTCTTTTATTACTTCTTTTTCTTTGTTTTCGGTCTTGATTATTTTATTTGAATAACTATGATCTGAAATTGCAATAGGAACATCATCATCATTATAATCATCAGAAAGGTGTAAAGATTCATTATCCACCAGATCATTTGAATTTATATCTTCATTGATATCAGAAATATGATCTTCATTTTCAGTTTTCACAGTGACTTTTAATTTACTTCTTGCTAAAACCGAAAAATTGTTTAGATGTTAAAATATACCTACAGCTTACAAAATGTAAAAATTGTAGTTGACATACATAACGGACAATTGATATAAAACATGTGATTCAGCTGGGGGTATAGTTCGCTGACATAAACGAGTAATAGTAAGTTTTCGCTTTTAGAACACAAACACACACTACAAGGTAAAAAATTACACATAAACATAAATGATAAAAAAAAGTAATACCAGCCTTATTTAAGTTGAAAATAATAATATTCTCCCTATTCACTTCCTTACGAGTGAATTTTTTAACTTCATAACTAGAGCTTGTGCAGGGTAGGGACAGCTATTATTATTTGTCGAGGCACCCCGGGGCGACTTAAAGATCACTTAAAAATAAGGAAAACCCACCCCACCCACCATCACAAAAGGATTCAGATAATTTTACAGAATAAGCCATGGCAAGTCGTTTAAAACTTAATATCATGAAATATATAGTAATCATTACTAGCATATTATACAAGTGAAAAGAAGATAGAAAGTTCCAATTAAAGGATATCCAAAAATACCTGAAGATGATTTTCTGACATTTTCGAAACAAGTACCAGTAAATACATCAAATTTTGGATTTTTCTTAAAACTGATAATCTGAATGTTGATGGTACCAATTCAAAGTAAGGTAGAAAGAAGGGAACGAAGAAGAGAAGAAAAAGCTCTAATAGCAGCAAGAATAGAAAAAGGTGTTGTAAAAACCTTATTGGATAGGCTTAAACAAGGTGTATATCAAGATTTATATAATATTTCACCACGGACATTTGAAGATGCTGAACAAGAGAAAGAATTAGAATCAGAAGAAGAACTAGAGCAAGAAATCGAAATGGAAATCGAAGAAGAAGGACCAGAATTTATAGCCGCTGAATCAGCTGATGAAGATAGTGATTTAGAAAGTAATAGTGGGAATCTACAATCAGTTGATCTAGACAGTAGTTTTGAATCATTGAAGATTTAGCACCAAGTTCATCTAAAAAAAGTACAACACCTAAAAAGAACAAATTTGGATCTACTAAGAAAAGACCCAGAGTGGAAATAAAATATGAAAGAGAAGCACCTCAAAGACAGAGTGTTCATTAAACAAAAGAAATAAATTGTAAATTATAACAACTAGTTCATAAACTTTATTCTTCTAACTGGGATAGCACAACTAGGGGAGGGTGGTATAAATAAGTATTAAAAATTTTTATCACTTACATTGTAATTAGCCGCTTTAAAGGTTTATGAAAAATGTCACAATCTAAGTTTAGTGTAACATTAATTGAAGATCTTACGTACATTTGCTAAAACTCTCTATAGCAGCGATACTCAAATTGTGGTCGGCGAAGCCCCGGGTCTCCGCAAAGAAACAAAAAAAGTATATGATTTTGGTATGAGGAAGGATGAGGAAAGGATATTATTTTGAGAATTTTGTTGTAGGGGCTCCGCAAAGAAACGGGAGGGACCTAGCAAGAGGCTAGAGAGCAAGGAGGATTTTACTCGGACGACTTTTTTTTAGAAATGTGTTTAGGGCTCCGTCAAATATTACGCGTTTCAAAAAGGTTCCGTCACCAAAAAAGTTTGAGAACCGCTGGCCTATAGTATGAACATTGTAAACCTTTACAAAACTAAACTTTATTACTATTGTCTCCTTAATAGTATATCAAAACCTTAAATACATAAAGAATAACATGCATTTGTTTCAAAATATGGCAGAAAGTCATAATTACAACACCAGAGGGAAAAACTATTTAATACAACTAAGAAACAACTAAAACTCACATCAGTTTTTTTTTTTTTTTGAATGACCTACCCAATAATATGCTGTCTTGCAGTGAGTATATACCATAATAACATAAAAAGTTACTTAATTTGTATTTATATATCGAGGATTATTTTGTAAAGACAAAAAATGTTCATATTAGTGTGTCGGAGGTAATACAAAATTAGACTATGCAGAAGGGCAAAAATCCAGATATTGATACCACCGAATAGAGAAAAAAATACTCAATTTTTGGTCCAATGCACAATAAAATCTTTGTAGGGAGTAACTGTTTATACTGCATTAGCCCTTACGGCCGAAAAAAAATATAAACGTAAATATCTCGGTTACAGCCCTTCAAAAATTTGGTTAAAAAGTCGTCTTTTTTTAAATATACCACTCATTTAATAAAAAAGGAAGGCCTAAATAAAAAAAAATAATTCTTTATAAAAATTTTTGCTTATGTACTGACAAGGTAACAGAGTAAATACCATATTTTTTGCTTTTGAATTAACAAAGATTTAACAATAAACGATGAGAGATGTCATAAGTTTATGGTGTAATTAATTCTCACTACCAATTTCATTGAATCTCAGTGTATCTTTTTCTTCGCCTTCAAACGTAGCATAGCTCTGTTTCTCTCTACGTACCGGCTGATGTATCACATTATTGATATGGTAGGATTTTTTTATTATAAAACTTCTCGTTAAGTGCCAATGGGCAATGTGTCATATTGTTATCTGCTTTTACTAAAGAATTAATAAGTGTATGTGTTATATATTAAAGTACCTAATAAATTGGGAAGAAATATAGACATTTTTGCGTCTTTATTATATATACATTCATCCTGGTGCAGCTGAATATATTTGGGTAAGTTATAAGTTTTTGTTTCAAATTTTAATTACGAATTTGTTGTTACAAGAAGTAAAGACAAAATGATATCAAAATAGGGATGTTCTTAATCCTCGCCAAGTCAATATGCTTGTTGATACAACAAACAGGATGGAAATTAGAGGCCAATATTTTAATTGCATATTTCATGTTTAATGCTGAGACAGAGAGAAATTTTACTCAAATAAAATACCAACTAAGTTTATTTTATCCTGAATAAGCCATGACCATGAGGGCTATGGCCATGACTGATACTTGTTTATAGTTGGGTACTGTTGTCAACAATCCAGTTATAGTCTACTCGGGTTAAAATAAACTTGGAACAACGAATATTAATTTGTCATGCATACTTACGGTTCTAAGCAATGACATTTTTATTGTTGTTTTAAAGAATATTTATTTATACAATATTGCATTTTTTTAACAGAAATCAAATTAGAATGGACAGCACAACAGATACAAGTTCAGAAAGCGAAATTGTGCCTCTTGTGTCTTTTAGGTTTCAAAAGAAATAACTTTTTCTACTCTTCTTATGGCAAACAAAATTAGATTATTAATGAAACAATACAAAAAGTCATTTCAGATGCTAAATGTAGATAAATTCGACGAAATACTTTGGCACAAGCTATGATATATTAGTTATAGTAGTAAAAGAAATATTGAAGCAAAGAGAAAAAGTAACGCAAGACTTAAAGAATATAAAGTCTTATTAATTTATTTTAAGATGTTTTTGACTAAAGATATCGATGGCTCAATCAAAATGGATGCGAAATATTTTTTTTATTTTAAATATTGCCACAAACAAAAATATCCTTAGAGATGCACGAAAATCATTTAAAATCTACAAACTGTATCTAAAACTGCCTCAATTCGAGTTATTTTCTGCAAAAACACCCAAATAACTCGAGTTAAGGCACTTTTATAATCGTAATCGTTAATTTCAACAGCAAAATATCGAAGCTTTTAAATAAAATATAAAGATTTTATGGCAAAAACAAAATAATGATAATAGAGACTTACAACATTTCAAAATAAAATTTCTCGAAACAATAGTATTTTAGTTATGGCTGTATTTGACTGAGTCATCGATATATGGTTCAGAACAAAGCGAGGAGACTCAAGACGATTTCTAGCAGTACATTATTTAAATTTGGATGAAAACCTTCTTAAAAGTTTGCCTGCTTTTCATTCTCTGACCTGTTGTGATATACAACCAGCCAATTGTCTGGCATTGGGAAAAGAACCTTTTGGAAAACCTACCTTGAACACCATCACTTTTTGGATGGATTTAACACTGATCAGTACTCTGAAAACATATTTTCTAATCTTGAAAAATTTTTCATAAAAATTTATCAAAAACTGCCAATGTTACTTCCATTAACATTTTGAGATTAATGGCCTCTTCAAAAACCATAGCTAAATAATTGCCACCGACTAAAGACGCCCTACGCTTACACTGTTTAAGATGTTTTTAACAGCTAAATATTTGGCTAAGCTCATTAAAGCCGCTGATGCAGCTTCCTAATGTTGAAGAGTATGGATGGAAAGTAGATCAAGATGGAAGTCTGATACCCTCTGTTAAGACTCTGCCCGACCTAACAGAACTTACATCATGCAAATGCAAAAAAGGTACAATACACCGATTGTAATGCCGGCCTTAGTTATTAAGTTTAAAATATTAAGTATAATTTTAATATTTGTAAATAAAAATCATAATATTGTAACTAATTATTGTTAACGAAGAACTATGCAACTAAGTAGGTTACCTGTATTGACACCTAAGCAATATGAGGTAATTTGTTTAATTATATGGTTTTTCCAATATAGACTGCAAGGTTCAATGAAAGAACGAATGCAGTAATTCTTTGTAATGTAACCCATATTCAAGATAAAAATAAATGATGATATATATATTCGATTCGACTTTGGTTTCATTAAATAAATAGAAAGATATCCTACAATTGGACAATACCTTTTTTTTTTTCAAGAAAATGTTCATAAAATCAACTTTAAAATGGCTTTAAAAAATCGGTGGTGCCTTTAAGTGATGTGTGGAGGGTGGGGAGAGATAGCCCCCTCATTTTACGCATAGAATCCGGGCACCCAAAGCGATTTTTGAATTCCGGCGCCTATGATAGCGGTGCTAAGTCTTATACTAGTTTACTTTTATCAAAAACTTAAGAAGAAGTTGGAAAGGAAAATAAGAACAGAAGTAACAAGATCGACAATAAGGGCAAGCCAAGAAAACATTTAAGCTTTCTTTTAGGCATATTTTAGGTATATGGTATATTATTATTGGAATGGAATGCAAAAATAGAAATGGGAATTAAAGAAAAG